TTTTGTTTGAAGCAATGCAAGGCTTTGGTTTTAGTATTCTAAAAGAAAAATTATATGTTACTTGGCCTGAAGATAGGCTTTATAAACTGCAGGTTAGTACTGAGAAGTAGCATTTCCTCAAAATTATTATTTCAAATATAGGGAAGCCTACCATAATGAGAAGAGGGGGCAACACCCAGGTTACTGTGGAGAAGTACAGAATATGCAATAGAAAAATTGTTTATTTGATATAGGCTGTAATTGGAAACGGAAAAAATTCCTATCTAGGGAAAAAGGTATTCCAGTCTTTTGAATCTAATAGAGGAGGAGGGAAATAGAAACCATCAATTATTGTTTCAGCTATACCCAAAGTACCATCTGTACCATAAACTATAGCTCAACTGTTGAAAATCATAACCTCTATCAAAGCCCTAACAGCTGTTTTCCAGAGTCTGCATTTTATTTTTGTAAAACAGGCAAGCATCAATTTTAAAACAAAATTTTAAGTGACACACTTCAACAGTCCACACTTTTTTCCATTTATTAACTTTAAAGCATAGTTCAAAGAACAATCACCCATTAAAACCCCTTTTAAAATTGAAAGTTAAAAAAAGATTTATCGTGGATACATTATCTCACAGTGGCCTCTCTTAGTGAGCATTTCTTAGTGCTTGGGATAACTTACATGATGGAAAAAATGTTTTGGATTGAATGAATGTGAATTTTTACATCTCCAGATAAAGCACATATTAATTTTATAATTAATAAATTCATTTACCTTTCTATGGTGATTAACCTTACCCATTAAGCCCTGGTATTTTTGTGGTATTTTCCTAATGTTGTGATGAAGTCTATAGTAACAATCAATATGAAAATACAAGTAAGCTTAGAGCTTCTCAATTTTCAAGTCCACTTGCAATTCCCATTAATCTGCCTTCTCAAAATGCTATGAACTTTGCTTTAGGGTTCTCTGCTACCTCTTCCCCTCCAAAAAAGTGCCTTTGATAATAAATGGATTTTGAGGTAAAAAAAGTGAAAATGGGGGAGAAGAACAAAATTCCATTAATTGTTCTTAGGTCATGTTCTGTCTATATCTAGTGCTTCAGGGCAAAGTGAATGCTTTTACAAGGTGAGTAGAGAAAAAAAAAAAATACAGCCTCCTATTAAAGGGAAAAAGGAAGCGGGGCCGGAAGAGAACTGTTTATAAAAGACTGGATATTGTAAAGTAATAATCAAAGGATGTAAAGCAATATTGGTCTCAACCTGCTTCAAGAACTGAGATCTGTTACCCACACAGCCAGTCATTATCTTTGAAAAATCTAACACACCTTATCCTCTTGGGCATATCATTAATTTTAAATGATTTTTAGAGTTTAGTTAATTTGCATTTGACTGTGAATTTAGCTTCAATATAAACTGATTTCGTTTCTGTAAATTATGTTTAAATAAGGATTTAAAGATGAAGAGACTCTGCATATTCAGCAAGCATCACAAACTTTCAAAGAAATATTTCTATGGCTGCCTTTGCCATCACTAGGGCCACCAGCTCAAACTCTTATGTTTAATGTGTGCTGCAAAGAATCTTAGAAATTCCTCTGGCCAGTCAGTTTCTACTTCGAGTGTGAGGTACACTAATTCCTAGCAGATCATCACCAACACCGTTCTAAAACCTCCTATATTCCTCTTCTTAAAAACAGAGTTGAGATTTTCTCTCCCTGGCCTTCTTCTGCATTAACATTACCTCCGACTGGGAAAGCTGGGCAAGTAAAAGTGGGAAGGCTCTCCAAGGAAAGTTGCTTGGTTCTTTTTCAGATATGGGAGAAGGACTCCCTTTTCATGCTTGTTCCATGAGATTCTAATTTAGCAGATTAGATAGGACAGCAGCAGTTTTCATTCTGAGCCCAAGAACAGAGGATAAAACATTAGCAGCATTTTTTCTCCAGTCTGACCATCCTCACATTCCTATGCCCTACCGGTTCCAAAATAAGATTAACTCTTAAAGATACAATTATAATTTTTTAATGACTAGCTTTGGAAATGATACATTTGTGTGTGGGGGGATGGGTCAGGAGGTATGTGCAAGAGTAAGTAGGTAAGTGTAGCTATCATTGGGACAGGTAGAAGTGCAAACACCTTGTTTCTGTTTATGATAACTACTGATTCTAGCCTAGCGCACAGTCATTATCAGTAAGAGTGTATATTTTGTCAGAAGAGCAAACACTCAGTCCCACAGATGTGAGTTTGAGACGTGCCTTGGTAAGTTCTTTATGGACAGTGGGATGCCCCAGGCCCCAGAGAGTGTACACACACCTGACAGGAAATGTCCACAGAACTTTATAGCTGGAAGAGGCCTTGGAGGCCATCTGATCCAAATGCCTCACCCTGCAGAAGAAACTGATGTCTACAGTGTGACTTACCTCAGAGACACAGAGCTACTCAGAGGCAGAGCCAGGGCCCCCTGCATTCTTGGGCTACAGCCTTTGGTTTCTCCTTAAATTAATGGTAGGAAGAGATGAGAACAGAAGCCCCAGAAGAAGCCTTGGTACTGTAGGTGTTAATTTGGATATAAAACCCATTTTAAAAAAAAGAAAGTAGAAAGGTTCAAAGTTCTTGTTAATAAGTACAAGCAGTAAGAAGACAAAGGGAAAGGAGGGAGGTGAAAATCAATACAGTTCAACCAGGCTACAATGGAAGGGAGGTGATAAAGGGAGGACAAAGAAAACAAATAATAAATGTACTTAAAGGTCCTCTGGACGGCAAAGTTCACTCTCTGCCTAAAAGCTGAGAGGTGCCCTGCAAAGAGTGTATGCTCTACAGTTATAGTTAAAGCCATTTACGTCTGATCCACTAACTTGACAAGTGACCTCTTCATAGCGTCTTCCAACTACAAGCATTCTGCATTCCCTAGACCTCCCAGCTAGTAGGTTCCTTTTCAAAACTCAGTGAATCAGTGCCTTTAAAACAACCCTCCCTGGGCTTCCCTGGTGGCGCAGTGGTTGGGAGTCCGCCTGCCGATGCAGGGGACACGGGTTCGTGCCCCAGTCCGGAAGGATCCCACATGCCACAGAGCGGCTGGGCCCGTGAGCCATGGCCGCTGAGCCTGCGTGTCCGGAGTCTGTGCTCCGCAACGGGAGAGGCCACAACAGTGAGAGGCCCACGTAAAAAACCAAAAAAACCCAAAAAAACCCTCCCAAAAACTTTACAGGAAGTCACTGTGGGCTATAAGCTCCTGGAGATACTTACCTGCTTTACTTTCCTTAATACCATGCATTGCTACATGACATTAAATTATACATTAACTGCTTGTTTATCATCTGTCTACTAGACTGTAAACTCCTTGAAGGTCAGTTTTGCTACCAACTTTATCCCTAGCACCTGGAAAAACACCTAGCTATAGTTAGTAGGTATGTCACCAGGCCAAGAAGGGTATTGGATAAATATATGAACAAATTATACCCTGGAAGCTTCTTATTTGGTAAGAAAAGAGTATTTCTGGAAACAGTGGGTTAGGAAGGGCCCCTTCTTCTAGATTTTGTTCAGGAGCTCAAAACAAGTCTCTGCCACTATTTGAAGTAACTACATAGAATTGACATATAAAACACAAAAACCAGAAAACGAATTAGGGTCAGATGAAGTCGAGGCAGTGAAATCTGCTTTTACTATACAGTATGTGTTGTGTAGGCAGATTTCAAGTCAGATGCTTCTCTGTCTACCCACCTCCATCTACCTCACTTTAATGTCCTCCCAAAATAATGAGAATAAAGATGGTGAAGGAGTTCCAGGTGAATTGCCCCGGGGCAAGGAATGGATGGGAAGCAAAATATGAAAGAGCAGAGTGCAGTGTTTTTGTCCTTAATGAAGGGTATTCTTCTGTTTTCCCCTAATTTCTGTGCCTCAGCTGAACGCCTGGGAATTGCACTCATGGGGTCCAAACAGTTTGTCCTTGCAATAACTAGAAGTTAGCAGATTGCCCTTTCCCAAGTATGTATGTATATATATATATATATATATATATATATATTTTTTTTTTTTTGCGGTACGCGGGCCTCTCACTGTTGTGGCCTCTCCCATTGCGGAGCACAGGCTCTGGACGCGCAGGCTCAGTGGCCATGGCTCACGGGCCCAGCCGCTCCGCGGCATGTGGGATCTTCCCGGACCGGGGCACGAACCCGTGTCCCCTGCGTCGGCAGGCGGACTCTCAACCACTGCGCCACCAGGGAAGCCCCCAAGTATACATTTTGATTCCAAAGTTTCTGTGGGTAGTCAATTCATCTGCCAGGTTTTACAGAAAAGGAATAATTTTTCTATAGTTTCAAAGTTAGGTAACGCCAGTGTCAACCTGTGAAACCAGCCTAGGGCTTGTAACTCCTCATCTTCCCATGCCCCGGTCCGGGAAGATCCCACATGCTGCGGAGCGGCTGCGCCCGTGAGCCATGGCCGCTGAGCCTGCATGTCCGGAGCCTGTTGCTCCACAACGGGAGGGGCCACAACAGTGAGAGGCCCGCGTACCGCAAAAAAAAAAAATACAACACAAATGTAGTCAGCCTCCAAGCTTGTTTACTACTGACACTAAATTGATATGGACAAATAGTGTTACCTCAACGCTAAGACTAAAGAGTAAGAATAATGGTTCGTAAATCAAGTTCTCTTCTTGGCTCTGCCATCCATTCTCTGCGTAAGCCTCCTATAGCCTTGGCTTCCATTAACCTAAAAAATGGGAACAATGTCATCCACTGTAAGTATCTCTCAATACTGGGTAAGGATAGAATACTGCACAGTAACCCCTGAGGGAACTCTGATCACGTAGAGTCAAAGACTATGTAAAAATATAAGCTACTGATCCTATCATTAGAGAGACAAGTCAGCTAAAGAAAATGGGAAGAATGTGAGGAAAAAGTCCACTCTTAAGCCAGAGGCAAAATTCACATAACTGTAGCCCTTGAGCCTGTGAGAAAATCCAAATCATCCTACCAAGAGCAGCCGCAAAGATGAGCTCAGAAAAAAAAAAAAAAAAAAAAGATGAGCTCAGACCTTCAAGATGGGCGACTCTGACAGGAGTAAATCTGCCAGATTTATCATATCTCATGGCCCACCAGTCTTGGAACAAAAGTTTAAAGGTGAACTAAATTTTCTCTCTCTTTTTAAAATTCCCTTTTAAGTGAATCAAAACAAAAACAAATCTCTGAGCAGAAATTATAAGAGGAATGTAAAATATTCATCACATTTGGTCTGACAAGACTTAAGTGACTGCTGCTGTTACATTTGAAGAAAAGGATGGAGCTGCTTAGCCTAAGAGCTTGGGGAGAGCATGAGAAAGTTCCTTCTTGCTGAAGACAAATGGCCTGCAGTGAGATGCTGTGTAAGTCCCTTAGCCTTGGCTTGTTTGTCAGTTAATTGGGAATGGCAGAGGAGGTGAATCACTCTATGGAGTTCTGTATAAAGTAATCCTTTGCTGCAAATGAGAAGATTATCTATTCTTTAAAAATAATTCATTTTTTATCAAGAGAGTTAAACACTTTTTATTAAAAGAAACACATTATGTTTGAGGTTCAATATTATCCTTCAGGCTTTCATACAACTGCCTATATGGGGCAGACTGAGGTCTTTTAGATAAAGATGAGAACAACTTTGTTAAATGACTGGGGTTCTACTCATCTCCCCTAAACTTATGCCTCATAAGAGTCTTCTTACAGTCTCATAAAATTCACTGGGCTGAACAAAGATGCAAAGAATCACAGGCAAAGTTAAGATTCTCTGGCTAGTTTACCCCCATCTGGACTTATTTAAATTTGTCTCCAAGTGAATTCACTTCACTGAGTGGTTCTCCCTCCTCCAAAGTGACAAGAACAGGAGGAACAAAACTCTACTTCTCCTTCTTCAGCTCTCATAATAATTAGAGTAAATTCTGAGAACTGTAGGCATCATTCAGACTAAGAGGGAGTTATGTTCCCCTAAGAAATGGGTCTTCTCACCTCTCGAATCATTTGGTCATCAAGTATGTACCAATTTCAGACCCATGTGGAGGATACAGAGGTATCAGATTCTTTAAGGAGCTTATAGTTAGTTCAAGAGCAAAACTAATATAACAAATTAGAAAGTGGTATAAAACAATACAGAGTATTTGTGTCACAAAACTGTAAGGGCTGTGGGAACTCAGAAAGGGGAACCAGCCAGGGTTAGACAAGTTAGGGAACATTCATGGAAAAGATGGAAAGTGAAATGTAAATGTAGCATTCCAAAAAATGATGGCAGATTTATCCCTTGGAAGTCTACTGTGAAAAGGGAATATGAGGTAAAAAGAGAAAGAAGGCTTGATCCAGCATCAGAACACCCAAAGTCTGATTTTAAATTCCATTATTTGGCCTTTAGAACAACCTGGACTTCCATAGTTATTTCAATCCTTAAAGTGAAGATTAAAAGTGATGATAAAGCAGTTGGCACAATGCCAGACCCACAGCAGACACTCAGTAAATGGTATCTATTGTTCTTCTAGATATTAAGCCAGTCTGTCCATAAGAGTGATGCTCCATCATCATCTGGTGCTATTGGGTTCCTCCAGGCTGAGGAACAAGGGGCTGTCTCAGGGCCAAAGAGGAGGTGCTTTGTAGGATGCAGTCCCAAAGAACTCATGTTTAAGCTTATTGGAGAGTTAAGAACTCAGGATTAAGCTTACTGGAGAAAATCCATGTCTCTAGTACTTAACTTCAGCCACTCTGAAAAGTGAGGTTATCCTTTATCCTGATTTCTCTGCTTGAAAGGAATCCCTCCTATGAGAAACCCACATGAGCTTTCCTAAAGAAGTCTTAGTCACCTGAAATAAAAAACAAGTTACTGAGTAAAGGACCAAGGAGAGCAAAAGGCTTAAAAGCTGGCCTGGAATCTCCCTGTTTTACCTGGAAAGTCCTACCATGCTGGAGAGGCACACATATAAAACAAATAGGTGAGACAAATCTTACAACATGGGCTAAATAGCTTATATTAGATCCTACCCACAGACAATGAAGATTTCCTTTCAGAAACTACTAGTCAAATACTAATTCCTAGGTGTTCATTTTTCAGTTTAATTATACTTTCAATTTAGCATAACATTTTAAGTGTCAGACACTAAAAAGATTTACTTCTGTACTTTTACAGCACACTTATAATCTTGAACTATAACAAATGCTTGACATATAAAGAACCAAAAATTAATCTGAATCCCATGAAATTCCAATTAAGGTTCCTGTATAGTTATGAACCACTGAGACTTGACGAGTCATAAAATCTCTTCTGATAGAATGGAATATACATTTTTGACATGTGAATTTGTATATAGTGCTATATAGGAAAGAAGGGAGGGAAAGGACTTTAAAGGTTGGTAGTGGTTTTTATCCTCTGGAACTGAGATTTGAGGATCATTAAAGGCTTTGTAAACCTTAGAGACAAAATTGTATTGCTTTCCCCATGTTGCAGCTGAGGTAACAGGTAGATGAGGCAAGGTCATAGAGTTAAGTCAGTGGCAGATTTTGGTCCAACATTCCCTGTCCATTGAATACATGGCTCTTTTGAAAGTGGCTTTTCTGTTGCTTGAGAATTGGGGTTTTGCTTTTTTTCTTTGTTTTTAGCTGTGAATGAGTAAACTTTAAAAGTGAGGGAGACTGAACCAGTGCTTTTTTCAACAACGCTTTTTTCAACGGCTGCAAACGTGAAATAGTTTGCCCTCTCTCAAAATTCAAATCTTAAAATTAATTAAAATTCAAAAGTTATATATGGTCAGGGCAAAAATGGATGGGTATTCATATAGCACATACACAAGGTATACTATATAGCCTTTTCATCAATTTTTTTCCAAACAGAATTTCTCATACCGATAAACATAACTAAATGGGTAAAACTTTTGTGCAGGGACAAAATCAGCTGCAGACAGGCCCAGGGCCAAGGGAAGTAAAGTATCAAGTCACTGCTCTCACCACTAGCAGGCCTGTTGCAAACCACTGTAACATCTTAAGATGGAATTGCCCCTAACTACACAAGCTAAATATTCTCTAGAACACATTCATCTTAGAAGAACCCAACTTAGAGAAAATAGGATCAAACTCTGTGTTCATGCTTTCTATCTTCTCAATGCTCAGAAGTGGCAGAAAAGGAAAATGTAACCCAAATGCTCTGAACTGTTTGTTAGGGAAAATTAAACAAGGTTAGATGACCAAAATAATTTTAATTTTTAAAATGTATGCAAGAGGACATGCAAAGACCACAAGAAAAATGGTCAGTTACATTCCAACAGATTTTAGAATAAAACTTTCCCACCTATCTGTAATTAAGTTTTACATATGGCCCAAACTCTAGTTCTCTAAAACATCATTTAGGAGACAGAAACCAGTCACCCTCAGGAACTAGGAAAAGTGAGTAAGGGTAGATGGAGGATGTTCACTGTGGTTCAGGATCTCACTGTTTGCTCAGCAGGCAGTCAGGCCAAACATCAACCTTCATCTTCCAACTGCCTTGACCTCCAAATACTGTTTAATGGTATTAAATGTTCTACTTCCTTTGCCCTCCTTATTTACTGATTTACTATAGCTAAAATGGAAGGGGAAAAAGAAGGAAGTTCTCTAGGGATCAAAATGTTTCACATTTTATGCTCTTTGGACTCCTATCTAGCCTGTTTCTCATGGCAAATTGTGTGATTTCAGTAGTCACAATAAAACATAAGCCTCTGTTGTTGTGGTTTCTAAGTTTCTGAAGTCTACATTTCCCACTAACAAGTTAGGAAACGTTTGGTTTCCCAAGCATACCACGTTAGCCGCTGCCTCTGTGCAGGCAGCCAGACTACAGGGAGGTGAAAACCAGTGAACTCATCTACTCTGGCACATGACTGCTCCCTGTTTTGGCCTTTTATGTTAAATCTACAAACTGAACACCAGTGAATTAAAGTATGAAAGCCAAATAAAAGAGTTAAGCCTTTTTTAAAAAAAGACTTACAGGAACTAGGGGCTTAAAAAAAATTTTCTTTCCTTTTGGCTCAGAGTAAGATTTGGAAAAGGATATATTCTTTGTAACTTTTTTAAAAAGAGAGAATAAAAGAAAGAAAAACAACCTACCAAAGAATAAGTGTTAAGAGAAAGGAATTATACTAATCCTCCAAAATATCTATTTGCAATATCTGAAAGAAAATAACCTGTGATCTGGGAAGAGGAAAAAAAAGGATGAAAGGAGATTAAAAACAAAATTGTGTAGCTACATCAGAATGCTTTTCTAAAGAATCTATTTCTGTTTTCCTCAATCCACTAAGATACAAAAGGAACATCTAAATATAAATGGATTTTGCAATAAGAGGAAAACATACAGGGCTTCCCTGGTGGCGCAGTGGTTGGAAGTCCGCCTGCCAATGCAGGGGACACGGGTTCGAGCCCTGGTCCGGGAAGATCCCACATGCTACGAGCAGCTAAGCCCGCCAAAAAAAAAAAAAAAAAAAAAGAGAAATACATACAAATATTCTTAACAAGATAAAACACATACAGTACACACTTTTAAGGGTATACAGCATTATGCCCTTGAAGTCTGTCTGAGAAAAGGCTGCCTGCTAAAAATACTTTCCGAGAACTTTAAGTTCCTTGAAATGTTCTATGGAAATGGTATTTATGACAAACCCACCTCCTCTAGGGAACATGAGATGTTATTACTGGCAAAGTCACAATTTTCTAAACCATCCAGAAATAATCATGAATTTATGCCAAATGACTAAACTTGTTTTATTATTACAATGATTAAGAGAATATTTGCTAAGATCTCATGATCAAGCTCAAATTAGCCATGAACCTACAGAAAATACAGTGTCAAAACAGCGGATTGCAAGTGGTAGTGATTTTCTGTGCCTTTCACAGGCAGAATATTACAACACACAAATTCACTGGAGAGGATGATATATGAGATATATGAGATAGGAGGTGTGGATGTATGTCACGGTGGTGAGGAACTGCTTTTCTGTAAAATGAGAATAATAATACAGTAAGTCCCCTACATACGAACAAGTTCTTTTCTGAGAGCTTGTTCATAAATCCAGTTGGTTCGTAAGTCCAACAAAGTTAGCCTAGGTAGCCAACTAACACAATCGGCTATATAGTACTGTACTGTAATAGACTGTAATACTTTTCACACAAATAATATGTACATAAAAAACACAAAAAATAAAGAAAACATTTTAAATCTTACAGTACAGTACCTTGAAAAGTACAGTAGTACAGCACAACAGCTGGCATATAGGGGCTGGCATCGAGTGAACAGGCAAGAAGAGTTACTGACTGGAAGAGGGAGAGGAGGTGGGAGATGGTAGAGCTGAAGGATCGTCAGCAATAGGAGACCGAGGGCAAGCTGCAATTT